TGCATTTTCAATGGCTTTGAGTAAATAATTATATTTTTCCAGTTGCAGGTTAACATGGCTGACAGAGTTAGTAGCCTGCATTGCATTGATAAGCTGGGCAGATTGCACATTAATTTCGGTTGAGGGAGGAAGAGTGAATGTGCCACCTAAGCTGTCTAGTTTAGAACAAAAGACTCACCATCGGCCTTGGCATCCTGTATGATATATAGTCCAGGAAATTGTCTGGTACCAGTTGTACAAGCTTGTACTGCAGGAAACCTAACAGGAAACTGAGGATAGTTCCTTGTACCTTGTCCTTACTGCCAGATTGTCTGACATCTAAGTAGGATACGCTACCACCAGCAATGTTTTAGATTGGCTTGAAGTGAGATTAATCTCATTTCATTTCATCTTAATTGCCTTATCTTCATGGGGTAGTGCCACAATTGAGCCAAGAAAATTAGACTTGATATGGCAAAGATGAAAACAAGAGTGCTCTGAGAGCACAACACCCACGCATGAATTTTTTTAACGAGTTTATATTTTCTTTGATTTTATGAAATAACAACAGTAGCACGGTATTTGAAACAAATTGTGCAGAACATTTTGTTGGGAGTAATCCCATCTGAATGCTAATGCCATTAGGATGTAGCTCACCCACAAAAGCCTTATACAAGGAAACTAACTATAGTAAGATATTGTGACATTTTCACAACAGAGACTAAAATGACATTGTTTTATAATGGTTGTTACCTGAGGCAAAGTTGTTCTACACTACTCTGACAACCAAGGGCTTGTGATCTGAGAAGAAACATTCCAGAGTTCCTGCTTCAACCTGAAGAGTTCCTCTAGTATAGACATGGTCTATTGTAATTCCATAACCAGTTGTAGGGCCTTTTATGAGCTGTTGAAAACCGTACTGTGACATATGCTGGTCTAAATGTTTAGCATTAGAATTCTGTGTGGTGTCACTAATGTCAATGTTGAAATCTCCAAAACATAAGCATTGTGTTGTTGATATGTTGTGAACCAAGAGCACCAAGAAGAGAAGAAACTGGTGTCTATGGAGGTTTGTAGACTGTACAGATCATGAGGTTTGGGACAGGGCTTGCAAGATGAAAGATTGCTAGTTCTATGCCATCTACATTCATAAACTTAGGACTGTCTGATTTCTGTTTCACAGAGTTTCTGATGTAGACAGCAGTACCATATGGAGGTCTGTAAGAACCAGAAGTCTGGTGTGAGTCATTCCTGGACAAGGTGAAACCTTCAATTTGCTACTGTTCATTTGAATCTCTATCACTTAGGCGAGATTCGACTGCGATATGTGTATCAATAACACATGTTGTGTGTAGAGCGGCATGTGTTTAGAGCGTCAGGGATATTCCCTGAAAAATGTAGGAGTTGACATCACAAAAACAGTACCCTCTCTCACAGTTGTGCAAATCGAGCTTCATAAACCAAGGGCAGTAACTCTCTCAACATGACAAGAAATGAAACGTGACTGTGATATGGATATATTAAACATGTGCACATTTTAACTGTAGGAGGAGTTGATTTCACAAGCTTAGTACCCTCTTTCACAATTAGGCAAATGAAGCTCCGTAAAACAGGGGCAGTAACTCTGTCAAAATTTATCGAAATGAAACGGGACTGCGATATGTGTATCATCAACAAGTCGACATCTTGTGTGTAGAGTGTCAGGGATATTCTCTAAAAGCTGGAGGAGCAGTTGATTTCACAAGCTTAGTACCCTCTTACACAATTAGGCAAATGAAGCTTCGTAAAACAGGGGCAGTAACCCTGTCAAAATTAGTTGAATTGAAAAGGGACTGCGATATACGTATCATCAACATATTGACATCTCGTGTGTAGAGTGTGTGGGACGGACAGATGGATGGACAGACGGACGGACTGCGCCATGACATAATCCCCCTTCGGCCATTCTGGCCCGGCGGGGGATAACAAGCCGTTGATATAGGCTAGTGGACACTTTGCCTAAGAGAGATGTGAGGATGAAGACCGTTGACATACTCCACTGATAAATCTTGCAGGTAACGTAAGGTAAAGGTAGAATCTATCTGCCAAAACCATTTTAAAAGCAATACATATGTAATGCCTCAGCTGATAAGCTCCCATGTTGATAACCTTCAATATTGACCCAGGAAAACTGACTACTGTCAAATTTCTTTTGATTGGAGCAAGAGGAAGATCAAGGGTTAATATAGTGACCATTTGACTTGCATTTCAGCATGTTTTTTTCACTGTGTTAAGAGTATTCAACATAAGAATCAAAGTGCATACTGTCTGTGTCATAGCAGCATAGTAAATATTTGAGATTGTTCCAGTATGATAACAAGTGAGTGGGCGAGTGCATATCAGCTTTTATTACCCATTAAGGTTTGAAATAACTGAGTTCATTAAAACATGTTTGTGCACAAGGGCAAAATATCACTTCACGAGTATCAGTGTATTGTTTATGTCATCTGAACAGCATTGTAGACATCATTCAAATCTTCTTGTAACATAAGGTTGGAATGACGTCTCACTTGAAATGACATCATAGCTGAAGATTGTTGATGTCATTCAACAATTTCGGTTTTAGAAATGGCGGTCGAGATCAGTGCAATTTTCTACAGGGGAGCTATTGCATGTGAGTGATATTAAGCCCTTGCCTTGAAAAGATGCTAGGCTATAGATCCCTAACCCCTAACATGTCATGGATCGTTTTCTGATATTACACCACAATCCTACTCTGATATGAGCAATAATAGGTTCTTGATAAATATTGTAATATCATGGTCAGTATGATACAGACCCCTGATTGAGATGAGGTGTTGCCGGTACAAACATTGTGATCGCAATTAAAGGAGCACTATTCTCTGGCTTCTTCTCGGCCGTATGGCACACCCGCTGGGGCTCATGAGCTGAGTCGACTTGCTCGCTAACGCAACTGAGCGTGACAAGAGACTGGGCTACAGTCTGCAAGGACAGCTAAATAAACTTGGATGCAATATTTGTTTTACACATTTTTTAACACTGATAGCTTACCTGTGATCTATAAAGATTTCGACAAAGGGCACATGTTAATTAATTTCTTCAGCCTCAACAAACAGACACAAAGAAAGGTGGAAGCTCATCGGATGTCGTTATATGGACATACCCCGGATGGTTATAGTTTAATAAGAAAAAAGTATCCCTGCAGTGAAAGCATTTTCAGAATTCGGATTGAGTGGATAATACCATTACTACTCCCTTGTTGTGATCCATGTTTTCTGGTAAAATCCTATGCTTCTGTATTTGTCGTAATTCACTTGATGCTCAGTTAATGAATTTATTACAGGTATAATTAGTGGTAGCACCACTCAGATTGCCTGATAAAGGCTCCCATTTGGCATTTCTTGTGTCTGGGATAATTATTCAATCTAAATCCAGGTTTGAAGTGAGGTGAAATGTGTGTTATGTGATATGCACTTGGCAGCCCAGCAAGAGATGAATGATAAGTTGATTTACTTTTTTGTAAATCAATGGATCAATCCTATCCATCAAAGGATCAACAGAGATTATGTTGATTGATTAATCACTGTTATCTTGCACAGTGGATATGTCAAAAGTAAGTGTTTACATGTGTAGGTTTACTAAAGCAGGCAGAATACACTAACCCCATGGTGCGAAGTGCCAATGTAAATACTACATACTTTGTTCAAAGGATTAACTGATTATTCGTTGATTGATTGCTCATTGTTATCTAACTCAATTAATTTTTTAAAGAACCGAGGACATAATGAAAATAGTTGTCACATGGGCTTTCTCAGCTGACCTTTGAGATTTGACACCTATGTGAAACAACTGAAACAAACCAAGTGATCAGCTGAGAAACGAACACGGGTTATAATAATATCCCGAAATGCTATATATATTTGAAACTATTTGAGTCACGTTTACACTGAACAAGTTTCTTTGTACAGCTGAAGATGTATGGGATATTGTTCCTTTATGTGGATATTCATAGATACATTTCTCGAACAAGGTAGCTGTCTAAAATTATACTATAACTTTGGTAGGTTGTAATTATGATATTTGCATTTTGTTTTCATTCTTTTTCTGTAGCATTGAACAGAATCATTCTTGTTCCCCTACGTCTTGGTCTTCAATACTCGATATACGTTGTTTTCAAAAGTCTTTTCCTTTTAAGGGTGTATATGTTACAGTCAATGTGAAAAATGTGATTCATTCAGGCAATTTATAAAATGTCTAAATATTTCCATCATTTTACAAATTGACTGAAAAATCTGTCCATTTATTTAACAGATTGACTTAAAATGATTAAGACGTTCAAAAAGTGCTTAAAACATAACAATTAATTAACTATGCTAGTATTAGAAGCCAAACAATATAGAAATGTACATTTTCAGTTACTTGGTGAAGATATTAAACATAAGAATGTTTGGAATTTGTTATCATAATAATACAGATGGACATATTTTTCAGTCAATTTGTAAAATAATTGAATATTTAGGCGTTTAATAAATTTCCTATGTGAAAATTTTACATATTTTGACTGTAAAAATGTACACACGATAAAATGAGCAATGCTCAGGTGAAATATTTACTTTGTGTTGCAAGGCAAAATAGGGTAAATGAAAATCGCACAATTACCAACCAAGTGACTTATCAAAACTTCGTCACCATTACCGATGCTACCCACAAAGATAACTACATTTCCTTATTATCTTGAAAACTGTATTTTATTTTGTTGATCAATGTGACCATACACCCTTATTACTATCCATAAAAGTGACATATGAATGGCACAGCACAGGTCGCGAACCGGTCTAGATTTCTGTTATACATGGGGGTACTCACGGGGGGAAAACAATAACAAAAGCAACAACCAGTCCCGGGGAATTGCTTTAGATCTATGCCCCTTTAAACATTGTGAGCAGTGTGTTGTCCCTACTCACCATGATAAGACAAATATCACATATTATCAACAAATATATAACATAAAACATACAAACCTGATTTTGCTTCGAGACATATTCCTTCTGTGCAATCCTCACTTGCTCCTCCAGTCTGTTTTCAATGAGAGACATCACATTCATTTCATATTGTATGAATACACATGCAATACATTTATATTGCAATAAGCATCAATTCATCTTAATGTCCCCAAACTTGAAGCATTATGGCATGTACTGTTCATTGTTTATCACAATCTTACAAAAACTTAACAAAATGTTTTTTTCCTATCACAGGATATCTTTTATAGATAAAGTTTTATTTATCCCATTCTTGTTACTACGGAAACAGTGCTGATTGTTTACTGAACATATTCTTTCATATTCCTTGCAATGGACACAAAAGAGGACATATGATAATTGCTCTGGCCTTGTTGACAAGGCCTGGAACAAAAGTGGACACAAACATCCCCCAAGACCTTAAGTAGGCCATGCTGAATATCAGCAAGTAATCAATGCAGCTGAAGCAATTTCAATCCACAGCAGGTCAATTCGATCTAAACCCAAAATGATGAATATATATACAGGATATTCAATGTGTTTATAAAATCTTAAAAAATGTAAACAAAAATAACAAAAAATATTTGAGGTCAATGAAAGTGTTTATCATACATTTGGATATAATTATATACAAAACAAACTTCAACAAAACATATTCTTGAAATCTACAAACTGTAGTTGGGAGCGAATGAATACATGTCAAGTGACAAAAACCAGTTCTCTGATTTTGACACAGAATGCTTGGCACACTTGTTGTCTCCCCTGTTCTATGAAAAAAAATAATTCTTGACTTCATTAATGCCACTAGTCGATCGAATTCGATCGAATCTTGTTTCATTGTTTTGTATTTGGTAAGTTCTGACAACAGTAGGGCAGTTGAGATATGATGCTCCATGCTATTTAATTTTGCTTCAGCCTGCGCATGACTACTATCATGATTTAATGCTTTCTTTTGCATCTGGTGAGAAATAAATGTAAGAACAGCAGTATAGGGAATGGGGGTTCTAGTTCACAGCCACCTAGACCTGGGCCCACTTGCACAGAACAATCTTAGTTACAATCGATCTTAGGCGGCTACAATCAACTTTACAATCACCATACAATTGTCCTATTCCACTTGCACAAACCGATCTTAGCACGATTGTAACACAGCTTGGAGTTAAGATCGTGATCTTAGCTAAGAATGAAATCTTCAACGGTGGAGGTATGAATATTTTAAACTCAACTCCTGTCTACAGTTGTCTGCAAACGCACATAGTTTGCTGCGCTTACAACAAGTGGAACCAGTAACGACACGCAACACGTACCTCCCTCCATCGCACTTTGCAGTTTCAAGAAAGGTCCCAATTATTTGAAGGAAACGATTACTAGAATGAAGGCATATATTCTTGTCGGCATTAATACTGTCGTGATTTAGGAATTGTTTTCTATTTCAACAAGAGAAATACCTACTCATGTTTTTATTCAAAGTATTGAAATACGAATAAATATATTATTTAGTAACACAACTATTATGAAAATTAAAACAAATAATAATAATATTTCCTAAAACCATAACGTCTAAATGCATGATCGTCATCTATTTGGGGGAGCTTTTCGTAAAATCCTAAATATATCCTTCATGTTTTCGTTTCGTTGCTACAACAAAGGATGTTATGACTACCATTTCATAACACAGAAAGACGGGAACTTTCAAAAATGCATAGACGGGAAATAAGAATAATGAATAATGTTTTGAGAAAGCAATTGTTTATATATATTCACTGGGTATTAATTTTTTATTTTTTTTTAAATGTGAATTTTATTTTGGCTATTCAAATGTGTCATTATGTATATTTGCTTGTTTGATGAATAACTGTATTTTTTTTCTTTTTAACTCTGATATTTAACCACTCGTCCCCATCCTATTTGATTTTAGATTTAAACAGGTATGATTTGCTCTTCAGCTTGTATTTATTTGTAGGTTACCGGTAATTTAATGATAAACTAAAGACAAAATAACTGACACAAATGTGACCCAAAAGAAATATAGGGGGAGCTCAGCAATTCAACAACATTGATACACTGGGTAAGGTAGATTGTACTCTATGGGCTTATACAAAGGGAAACCACACCCATCTAGAGTATAAACTAAGATTAGCTGCCCTTGATTTATCAAAATGGTCACAGACGTTACAAATCGCTTGCGGGACGAGTAGTATAGGTAATGATGGTTCTGGACCACTTCCACTGGAGCCGGATTTATTACCTATACTGCTATACTACAGGGGGGATTTTTTATGCGTAAATGATTATGCGATTCAATGATAGTCATGAGATTCAGCTAAATTGACTCCAGCTCACCACCACCTGGAGTCAATGATATAAATTTTTATAGGTAATGGGGGTTCTGGACCACTTCCACTGGAGCCGGATTCATATACCTATACTGCTACTACAGGTGGCATTTTTTATGCCAAAATGATTATGTGATTTAACGATAGTCATGAGATTAAGTTAAATTGGCTCTAGCTCACCAATACCTGGGGCCAATCAATGCTTCTATTAGTATAAAAATGATGATGCGATTCAACGAAAGTCGTTTTAAAAGAAATATCAATATTAATTAATAATGAATAAAATTTACTATAGCCCACGAGGATATTGGAAAGGTGTAGGAGCAATACAAAAATTAACCACCGCGGCTAAGGTATCTAAAGATGTGGCCAAGGATTGGTTAAAGAAACAAGCGATGTGGCAGATATATTTACCGGCACCGCGTTATATACCGAGGAAGAAGTTTGATATTTTTACGACGAATGAAGTTCATCAGGCTGACCTCTTGTTTCTTCCCCTCGATAAGGTAAAACGCAAAACGTATAAATACGCTTTAACCGTTGTGGATGTGGCTAGTCGATACAAAGAGGCTGAGCCATTAACCTCGAAAGAATCAACAGAGGTAGCTAATGCACTGAGTCGCATATATAAACGCGGACCGCTAAAATGGCCTAAGCTATTTCAAGTAGATCCCGGTCGCGAGTTTATGGGATCGGTAACTAAACTGTTAACAAAGCACGATGTCGAAATCGTCCGTGGTGAAAGAGAGGCCCACCGCAGTCAAGCTATCGTCGAAAGATTTAACCGGACATTAGCGGAACGTTTGTTTGGCTATCAGTATGGGATCGAAATGAAATCCGAGCGATTGAGATCAACTGAATGGGTGACACGATTACAAGCCGTTGTATCAGCGCTGAATAATGAAGTAACGAGATTAATAGGGAAGAAACCATCCGATGCTATTAAAATGAAATCCGTGACTTCCGAATCTTCAGCACCGAGGAGAGGCAAAGAACGAAAACTTCCGGATAGAGTAAGGGTAAGATATTTATACCAGGCAGGTGAACTCGAAGGAGGCCTACGTCGCGCAACCGATCCCATATGGTCCCTTATGACGTATAACATTAGTCGATTGGTTACGAAAGAAGGAGAGCCTATTCTTTATTATCTTCAAGATGGACCGGGTAGGGCATTTGTACGAGAAGAGTTGTTCATAGTTCCCGATGGTACGGTATTACCACCATAACCATAAGCATAGGTAGCTACACCATCATTATCAATCCATCTCTTTGTATCTAAGGGGGATAATGATGTCTTGTTCATTCTTAATCCATATATCCTATGATTGTAACTTCTTAAAGAGTTCATCTCGTGTTTGAACGTTCTACCGTTGAATAATGATTCCTTATACTGTTCGTGTTTGATATGCTTTTTTACAACATACTTCTTAACGCCCTTAGCTTTTCTTATCTCTCCATTGTCGGACTTCTTTATAGAATACATCTTAGGTCTTAATCCTACATATTCCGCTATAGGGGTCCCAGCACATTCATCCTTCATCTTACCTAACACCTTTTTATTTACAACGCTGTGCAGTGGATTATCTTTTGGGTAATCGCTCGTGTCGTACATATCTATTTTTTCTGCCATATCTTTATACACATCCTCGGTTTGTATTTCCATCAACAAAGAATCTGTGTCGGTATATAACACCTCGCATCTATCGCCGTATTGCTTCTTAAGTTCGTTGTAATAAAAGTCATACATTAAATGTTTTGACAAGTCGAGAATACTCATACCGACGTACACCGGTCTGTTGAATTTTATATTACTCTTCTGCATATGCAACGCGGCTAAGTCGTTATCGAATATCTTGCTTCTGTTAAAAGCCGGACTGGCTATAAGTTTCCTGAGTCTTTCTTCCTCATTAGATCTGACTAATTTAACATCAACACGCTTCCTTAGATTCTCCATAGTTTTACCAAATACCGAGTTATTCATGAGCTTATATAGATTCTTTTCGAAATCGCTGGTAGCTATCTTTCTTAAATCTGTGTTCAACCTTATATAGGGCTCCATCCAAGGGCTTTGATCAAACTTTAGAACTCTGTGTATTTTCTTAAGTTTCATACCTAACGATAGATACAACTGGAGATTTCTGTAGTGAACTATATATTTTGTCTTATCCATCAAATTTGGTACGAGTTTTTCTACGTTAGCTAACCTACTATTACCCATCAAGGAGCGTTGATATTCCGACATCCAATCTTTATTAACCATTAATCTTTCGGGAGCTAGCGGATAACTGTTATGATCTTTATGTAACGAACTTGGATATTCCAAGTCAACTTCTAGTATGTACCCTTTATTCACTTCGATATTATGGATATTATTCACATTAATATCATCGACCCATTCAAAACCACCCGTGGGTAAAGGTTGACTCATAGCCCATCCGTACAAATTGTTAGCGTCGAGATATAATAAGTGCGTGTCGGGTTTACTGGGATCGTATCCTTCCACTAATTTATTATTAGCCTTAGAATACCTTTTAGCTGCCATCGATATACCACCTCTTAATCCTTTCTCAATAAACAAGTGCATATCGTAATCTGTGAGTAGTTTTAGTTCTACGCCGGTCTTCTTCAACAATGCATCCCACGATAGTCCGAGACTGGAATAGTACCATGCCGGGTCCAAGCCATATTGTTTGAAACATGTCTTTCTAAATATCTCGAA